TTACACACTCCCTATATCGAATCCCCTACGTTTCCTTCTTCATTCTCCATATTGAACTCTGGCCTTTGAACCATAGTCTCTTTTTTACTTTGTCATTGTGAATCTACTCCCCTGATTCCAGCGATTTCAGTTGCTTCCAACCCTTCTGCGCTTAAGACATCTTTTCTCACAAATATGGTTAACGCAACTTCTGGCTCTGGTATGGCGGCTGACCCAACCCCCTTGGCGGTACGTATGCCTCCTCACGATGACGGTGTTTCTGTTGCCCTTGAAGATGAGAGGTTTCCTACGGTGGAGGAAATAATTTCTCGCAGCCGAAGAAGGTTACGAGACGGGCTTCGATATGGATACCGAGGAAATGAGGATAATGGGGGAAGGACTTACCCAACTTGAGGTGAGATTGGAGGGGAGAACGCAGACTATTGCGATCCTCTTGGACCAGGATTTGCTAGTTTATACGGAGGACGTGGTCTCCTCTCTTGGTCCCCTCTATTCCGATATGGAGGGTAAAACCCTTGAGAAACTAAAGGACGCCACTTTGTCGAGGAGTATAGCCGGGCTCGATCTTAGGGTAAGCCTTTTGATCTTTGTGCATTTTTTATGCCGAGTCCAGATTTGTTCTTACTCGTTCTGTCTTTCTTTCAGACCGTGATTTTGGAGATCAAGAGCTCCCGATGAGAGGAGAGGCGCAAGGCCATTTTCAAGAAGATGGAGCGAAAATATCGCGAATACCGTGATAAGCACCGCGAGATCTGCAGGCAGTTCAGTGGAAACGACACTTTTCAGGCTCCCCGAGGCGAACTGAAGGAGAAGGATGATGAATTGATGAGGGTCATTGGAAAATGCAGCCTTCTCGAGGGGGCATTGAGGGACAAAGAAGAGGAGCTCGAGGTGAGCAGGGGGGAGGCCCAATGTGCCGACCTTCAAGCCCAAATGGTCTCATTGCGCGCCAAGTTTGAGGAGTGTCAACTCAAAGTGGTGGCCTATACACCCCTAAGTTATGGATTTAATATAATTATATAAATTCATGTCTAAGGCAGTAATTACCACATTAGTTGAAAGAATAGAATGTTGTCTCCTAATTTGATACGTTAAATAAATTCTTGAGATAACTTTTGGAGATCAACGTCTATTTTATAGCATGGTGTCAAAGTAACTACATCCATATTATTGATTTTCCTAATGTTATTGTCCACTCTCCAAAGGTTTAACCCTAAAAATGTTACAATGCCCCACATTAATTGAACAAATAAACTGTTATTTTTAATATGATTTTGGACAGGCTTATCTCGTAACAATTTTTACCTCATTGCTAAATAATTGCATCGCCCTGTCACTACAGTATCTCTCAAGTTTGTTTGTTTGTTTGTATTAGTATCATTCACTCGGTAAAATCCCAGTAGTAAAATGTGGGCATATCCTGAAATGCTAAATGAGGACAAAAAATGGTGAAGCTTGTGAACATGGAATGGTCACATGGGACGTCGAAAAGTGGGTCATGTTAATTGCCTTGGCCAAAGTTCTCAAAAAAGTAAAGTAATTCCCCATTTCCCCCATTGTTATGAAAGCCAACACATATATGGGAAGCATCCTATGTCCACCCCACTTATGGGCTATATCTCACTTTTCTCATGCCCTTCTATTTCTTTATTCTAAAGTATATTATCACTTTACCTGTCACTGTTACAACCCTCGAATATTAAGACATTAAGTAGGAGTATCAATTTTTTTGCTTTTCATTTGTTGTTCGATATGCTTATTGTGTCCGATTAAATTTAGACTTACATAGGAAAGTTCCATATTTGAGTGTAAAACATTTCCTAACAAGGCGATCCTACACCCGATGCTCGAATTCGAAAGTTTAATTAAGAATGAAGGTATACTTACCAATCTACCACAATCATTGTTGGCTGGAGTAGTAATTTTAGTACCCTATAATTGGATATTTTTGTTGACCTCTAACTACTACTCTATAATTTTGATATTTTTGATGGTATATAATGGCAGTGGGCAATCATAATTATTGCATAGGAATAAACGAATGAAAATTGACTGTGTACGTTACAAAGTGTAAGTTTGACGCTGACTTAAATTTATGATTAAGGATTATGACAAGAAGTAGTTATTTGACGATTTGACACAAACCTATTCATACTTTGACGCTAGTATAAGCTAAAATAAAGACTAGAATTTACGATTATAAATTGAATGAGCTAGACTTTTTTACATTTTGATGTAAATAAGTTATGTGTGAATCTGTGATATCACAATATTTCTTTTTTTTTTTCAGATGCCTTTGTTAACGTGAAGAAATAAAAAGATTCCTGTAATAACCAATAATTTAAGTTTACTTAGAATACAAATTTTGGTGAATTACGACAGGAAGGATCGACAGAAAAACTTGCTTTAATCGTTGAGTTTGATCCAAAAAAAAAAGAGGAAGCAGTTGAACCCAATTACCTATTCAAGGGGACCTATTAATCATGAAATTAAGGAGTGTCTAAATGTGCTTAACTTGACAGCTCAGTTATTGATTATTCCAAATGAATTGGTTAACAAAACCAAATCACACGCAACCTAACCCAAATCCAATAATCCCGAACAAAATTTACTCACACACAATATTTATATATTAACTCAATAAATACTCATTTCGTTTATTTTTATTTGTCCACGATAAACTTTGCACTCTCCTTAAATAAATAATAAATGAATTATATATTTTACTCTAATATCCATAATAATACCTAGCATTTAAAAAAATTAGGAAATGAGTAATTAATGACAAAGATTAAATATAAAATTTTTTATTTTCTCTTGATTCGCTAAAATGAACAAGTAAAAGTGAAACTATATTTTTAGCATAGCGAATAAGTAAAAGTGAACAAAGGAAGTATATGAGTTCTTTTACATAAATTATTGCTACTTAATCATAATTAATTGCTATATATTTAATATCGCATGCGGTATTATCGATAATTATAATAAACTACGTAATATAATTTGATGTAAACTTCGGGAATGAGATAATTTTTTTCACCCCAAGATCCCTCTCATCACATCTTCCAATATATGCGGTGACACCACAGTGCGACTGACCTGCTTAGAAAACATTGGCCAAAATTCTCAGTTTGGCCAATTTTGAAATGAGGTCAAAAGTTTCTTCTTTATTAGCATGAATTAAAGATTGTACAGAGAAAAGTACATTTACACATCTTGCGTCTTTTATAATCTCTCAATTCCAATTCATTTGGCGTTGCCATCATAAACAAGATATAGGTATGCTTTATTTAATGTCTGGTGGACCAAAAGAGTAAAGGCCATAATTTTATTTTTGTCTTTTTATTGAAATTGAAAGAAAATTACTCTCGACGATTCAGTTTATGTGAACCTATTTCCTTTTTGGTCCGTTTAAAAAAGAATGGCCCCTTTCTAAATTTGAAAACAATTTTGCTTAAACTTACAATTCTGCCCTTAATGAGAAGCTTTTATAACCATACAAATACACTGGACCCTTTTTTGACTTGTTTAGGACCACAAATTTCAAAAGTCTTCATTTTTTCTTAAATTCCGTACCGAGTAAAACAAGTTCACATAAATTGAAACGGAAAGAGCATTTAACAAGTATAAATAAAATTTACAGGATACCTTTTTTATTTTTATATCCAAAGTGTATAATGCAATAAATAGTGGTAAAGCATTCATGAAAGGACATACTCAAAGTAGAAGTGCTATTAATTTGGAATTGGAACTTTTTAAATACTTCCTCCCGTGGCTATTTTCATATATATTAAGAAATTTACCTTTTAACAATAATTAACAATAAAATTGACCATATTAATCTTAATTTGCTCATTAGAAATATAACAAACTACTTATAGGCTCTTTACTCCAAGGATAACTTTGAAAAGAAGAAATTAATTCCTTTTTGATATATAAAAAAGTCAAATATTGTGGACCATAAAAAAAATCAAAAATTCACTTAGAGTGAACCGAAAAAAAAAATACATTTTATTATTTTTTCTTTGAAAGCAGAGAAGGAAGATAAGAGGAAAAAAAGCTGGAATATAACTTCGGCACTACCCAAATGGCATAGCAGACTTAGAATAATAGGAGTGGATTGTATTGATCCAACAATTATATGTGTATGCGTGTGAAAATACTCTTACAAATAATGTAAATATTAAATTTTGAATTCACACTTTGGATGAACTCAAAACTTTAAATTTATCCAATTTAAATTCTAAATTCACCTATTTCAAAGGATAATATAGGATGGCTCTGAGCCCCTCTCTCTTTATCAAGCTCACTATAGAACACGCCTTTACACTTTTGAAAAGGGAGCATCTGCGTCTTTAATATGCCAATCAACACAAATTTGAATTATCTGATAATGAGTTCTAAATATTAAATGATTTATCAGCGGATTGAAGGCAAAAACATTTGACGGTTTCTTTCTGTTTGTCCAAGTTTTGACGGACAAAATTATGAGATATTTATTGCTAGTTGGAGGTGTCAAATATCTCGTAGAATTAATCTATGCACACCAAGGTTATCAAAGAAAAAACTAAATGATTTATGCTAAAAGGACATTAAACTCAACTTTGAATTTATAGTACTCCTAAGCGACCTTAGTCTATGAGCTAGGATTCTTGCTTGTTATAATTTATGCTAAGTTAAATTGCCTGAATAATTTTACTTAAAAATTTTAAAATACAACAACAACTCAGTATAATCCCACTAGTAGGATCTGGGGAAGGTAGTGTGTACGCAGACCTTACCCTACCCTGGGATAGATAGACTGTTTCCGATAGACCATCGGCTTCCTCCCTCTAAGAACTTCTCACCTTAGTGTTCACCACTAGAGCAACACACTCTTGTCGTTAAAATTTTAAAATGTGAACAATAAATACTTTCATTTTCTTATTTAAGGTCTAGACATTAGTCACTAGACTAGGGACTAAAAAAACTATTTTCGGTTGAAATAATGCGAGGACAGCGAGCGAGGATATTATTTATCGACAAACCAGAAGGGAGAGGTCGGCGCTGGCTGTATCTATAAAAGATGAGAATGCATTTGATACAAAATACAAAAGCCCAAACATTCATTAACATTTATGACCCATTGTATTGTTAAATGCAGTAACACAAAATCCAAAATACTGTTACTTTTTTCTGTGTGATTATCTGTCACAGACATTCTTAGCCTTTGAGGAGAGCTCTTGTCAGTACCTCATTGTTTGCACTTTTACAGACTCTCCCTCTCTCTCTTTCTTTATTCACATTTCTCATTTTCCACTTTGCTTTTTCCCACCATTGTTGAAGATAAAGCATTTTTTGCATATTCTCTCTTTCCACTTCTCTAAGTAATAATAATGAGTGCCAAATGGTTCTTGTTATGTTCCTTACTGTTGATTTTTGTTACTGAGTTTGGTTATTGCAGCGTGACTTATGACAAGAAGTCTCTCATTATCAATGGCCAAAGAAAAATTCTTTTTTCTGGTTCCATTCATTACCCCAGAAGTACCCCTGATGTATGGAATTTTCGTTCTTATTCTTTTTTCTTATTTTGGTATTTGGTATTTTGGTAAGTTTTGTTGACAATGGATAAAATGCAGATGTGGGAGGGGATTATACAGAAGGCAAAAGATGGAGGATTGGATGTTATAGAAACCTATGTGTTTTGGAATCTTCATGAACCTTCACCTGGCAATGTACTTTGCTCTTTACTCCCTTTTTTATATTTATTAGTTCAAAAATGGGGTATTAATGTCTACATTTTTGTGGGTTTATAGTACAACTTTGAAGGACGTAATGATTTAGTTCGATTCATAAAGCTGGTTCAGAAGGCAGGGCTCTATATGCATCTTCGAATTGGGCCTTATATTTGTGGAGAGTGGAATTTTGGGTAAGTTTGATTCTTTTTTGTTTAAATCAAACGACAATGAGCTTTGATTTCCGATAGTGTTTTCTTTCTAATGCTATATATGCTCTGTATAATTTTCTTTTTTGATTTCTAATTGCAGTGGTTTTCCTGTATGGTTGAAGTACGTTCCTGGTATCAGCTTCAGAACTGATAATGAACCTTTCAAGGTCTCTCTCTCTCTCTCTCTCTCTCTCTCTCTCTCTCTCTCTCTCTCTCTCTCTCTCACACTCACACACACACACACAGAGCCTAATGTGTAGTAGAAATTTGGTCAAAGAAAAAGTAATAATTTTGCTCTATTTGGAAGTTAAATTACAGTAGACTGCCCTTTATCCACGGAGTTTTGAACCGTGCTCAACTGGTTCTGGTTCTGGGGGATTTCTCGTTATATGAAAAGTAAAAAATAAAGCTTACTGCTATTTTTTATCTTGCAGAGGGAAATGCAAAGATTCACACAGAAAATTGTCCAAATGATGAAGAATGAGAAGCTATTTCAGACCCAAGGTGGTCCTATCATTCTCTCACAGGTATGATTTTGTACTATTCATTTCATGAACAAGTAAGTAAAGCTACTTCCTGTGGCATCTAGTGTGTACCTTAAGCAATTTAAAATTAATGATATGTGAGAAAGCTCATAGACTGGATCATCTGTTTTGTGTTCTCAGCCCATGTGCAGTATGGTGCTTTGCAATGATGAAGCATCATAGATACTTATGTTTACAAGTGTTTGATGCAGATTGAGAACGAGTATGGGTTAGAAATAAAAAAATATGGCGCTCCTGGTCATGCGTACATGACTTGGGCGGCTAAAATGGCTGTTGAAATGGGTACTGGGGTTCCGTGGATTATGTGCAAAGAGGATGATGCCCCTGATCCAGTGGTAAGAATTTTTTCGCCACTAGACAAGATAAGCGTATCTTCATTTGTTAAATAAACTGCACACTGAACTCGGTTCTTTTGGCTCCTTATTTCAACTTGTTATTTCCATTGCCCCATAGTTACCAGGATTGGAAAATATTCATATAGAAAGTCAATTATATAGAAAAGCTGATTTTAAGTGCTTGGGATTATCTAACGTTATGCTAAACCTAATATTCATTTTGGTGACAGATAAACACCTGCAATGGTTTTTATTGTGATTACTTTTCCCCTAACAAACCTAACAAGCCAACGATATGGACAGAGGCATGGAGCGGCTGGTAAATTCATGATACTTTGGTATTTGCAGTGTGATTAATACTTTTCCATGTTGGGATGCTTTTGCTTACGTTTCTTGATGTATAAAGGTTTGATGATTTTGGCGGTCCAGTTCATCATCGACCAGTTGAAGATTTGGCCTTTGCAGTTGCACGGTTTGTTCAGAAAGGAGGCTCCTTGGTGAATTATTATATGGTCAGTAACCAGCTTTTAAAAACTTGTTTATAATGGAACTTAACCGATAACTAGCTCTCTGAAGTTCTACATCGGTTGGAGATATGCCTGTTGCTCAAAAGTGCTTATCTACTAATCTGATATATGAATTTTTTTGAATCAAGATTGTTTGAATCTTAAAATTCTGAAATACTCGGTAAGTAATAGGAGTAATGAAAAATCTGGTTGGCTTAGGAAAAAATCTTGTATAACTATTTAAAATTTTCATCTTGACCTGTCACCAAGTCTAAACTGTTAAGTTCAGTGGCTATTTATGTATTTCCCATTCTCCCCAACTTACATATTAAATTTCCGAGGATGCCTGTTTGATGCTTTCTTAGGTAAAAGGACTCTTATCAAATGAATGAAAGGAAATAATATTAAGAGTTTTACCATCTATGGGATCCATCATGCCCAACTTGTAATGCTACTTTGTCCTTAACCGACATTCCTTTTTCTTTTTGAACAGTATCATGGGGGAACCAACTTTGGAAGAACAGCTGGAGGGCCTTTCATCACTACCAGCTACGATTATGATGCTCCTATTGATGAATATGGTCAGAGACTGAGCTACGACCATTTAAAGGAACAACTTATGCATGTAATGCGACTTTCCTCGTATATACTAATTAGCTCTCCATGCTTATTTTATAGGCTTGATTAGGCAGCCAAAGTATGACCATTTGAAGGAGCTTCATAATGCTATCAAGTTATGTGAACCAGCACTTATTTCTGCTGATCCTACCATTACTGCCTTAGGAAACTATGAACAGGTACCTTCCTATTTTTTTCCCTCTTTCCGTAAACTCTTTTAATTATCTTGTTTTGGGGGTAGGGGTGTTACTACGAGTAGACACGGATCCAAAATTTTAAGCCAGTGGTCTGCCAGTGGATGTGAGTACTACTCCTTTGTGGAAGTGGGTGGAATTTAAAGGGAGTGGGTGCAGGCTCACTCCCTATTTTGCATCCACTCTGACAACGAGGACGAGTATTCAAATTAAAGTTAGATTTCTAATGACTATAGATTATCGATAACTCTTTGTTCTTTCTTACACTACATTGATACGTTCTTTTACATATTCGATGCATCATTCTTTGGCCTTATAAAATTCTGAAATCTTCTCCATTTTGCAGGCACATGTATTTTCTTCCGGCTCTGGACATTGTGCTGCTTTTCTTGCAAATTTCCATTTGACTTCACCTGCGAGGGTGACATTTAGGCACAAACATTATGATCTGCCACCTTGGTCAATAAGCATTCTTCCAGACTGTAAAAATGTTGTATATAATACTGCCAGGGTATGTTATATATCAAGATAGTTACTTACTCCTGTTGTATATCTTCTTCTTTTATTCATTGGTGCTGAAGAGTCATTCATACATAAATGTTATCTTTTTTTTATCTCCCCGAATCCTCTTCTACATAGCTAACATTAGGTTGTAATCTTTCTTCACATACCATCCACTCCCTACTTTCTAACCAAATAATTCTATAGAATAAGTTGACAATATTGTGTCTGCTAAACAAGCCCTTGGTTTTTTCTTCCCATTTGACATGATCTACTAAGATGAGAATTGAAGCTAAGCTATGTATGAAATACGCAGTTGCCAACTTGCAATCTATTTACTGAAAATATTTTGTGATGAAGTCTTTTGCTCTTCAAATCAGGTTGGAGTTAAGACATCCAATGCACAAATGCTGCCCACTGACGTACAACTGCGCACTTGGGAAACATTTAGCGAAGATGTATCCACCATTGATGCGGATTCAAAGCTCACTGTTGTTGGTCTCTTGGAGCAATTAAATGTTACCAGGGATAGGAGTGACTACCTTTGGTACACCACTAGGTATGAACAAAAACATTTTTATATTCCTGCTGACAAATGTGTATATTCATTTGACCATTTCGTTAAACTTTTCAGTGCTGAGATAAGTTCAGCCGAATCATTTCTACATCAAGGACAACATCTGACTCTTACTGTGCAGTCAGCAGGCCATGCCTTACATGTGTTTATTAATGGACAACTTTCAGGTGCAAATTGCTTCTCTTTTAGTAAACTCATGGTAACTTTTTAATGTTGAGAAACGTCAAATGTTGGATTCCTTCTAAGAATTCTAGGGTCAAATTACAGGTTCAGTTTATGGAAACCGAGAAAACCGAAGAGTTACCTTCAGGGGAGGTGTTAACCTGCATGCTGGAATAAACAGAATTTCCCTACTCAGTGTAGCTGTTGGATTGCCAGTTAGTCTCTTATTCCGACTCGCGTTATCATTTTAGAACTATCACGTGTGGGGAATGAATGGATTTTTGTTTTACGTATTTTGGAATAAACATTAGTAGCAACAACTTGAGTTGGGGCAGGGGTGGTGGGGAGATATCTCTGGATTTGTGGATCTCATAAATAACTAATCATTTTCTTCCTTGGCAAAAGTGGTATTTTCACCTTTATGTCTTGGTTTTTGTATTTGAAGAACAACGGAGCACGTTATGAGACGTGGAGCACGGGAGTCCTTGGACCAGTCGTTCTTCACGGGCTAGACAAGGGACCAAGGGACTTATCGTGGCAGAAATGGTCATACCAGGTGCATGTCCTATTTTCTTATTCATGCTTTGGCATCTTAGAGGTCCTTACCGCAACTTTGAATGTTTTTACTCAGGTGGGGTTGAGAGGTGAGGCGATGAACTTGGGTTCTCCAAATGCAATTTCTGCCGCTGATTGGGTGGGCGGCTCTTTGATAGCAAGGCAGCAACAACCTCTTACATGGTACAAGGTATATATATTTGCTTCAGTCTATATGGAGGACAGGACAGAAGAATTTTCAATTGAATTGCTTCACATATGATTAGTGACAAGGAAAAATGTAATAGGAAAAGTTACACCCAAACTGATTGAAATCACTTGTATACTATTTGCTGTAACTTTTGAAACATCAGAATTAATGACACTTCTCAATATTAACTCGAAGATAAGATTGATATTGTCGCATGGAGCTGTAATAACTAATAATGAGAAATAAAAAGGTGAAATCTTGATCTTGACCATAAATACTGAAATTTCCATCAAACTTTCAGGTATACTTCAATGCACCAAGAGGAAGTGATCCATTAGCGCTGGACATGGGTAGCATGGGAAAGGGTCAAGTATGGATTAATGGGCAGAGCATCGGACGATACTGGACTGCTTACGCCACTGGTAACTGCAGCCCTTGCACTTATATAGGGACATATCGACAAGGAAAGTGCCAATCCGGTTGTGGCCAGCCAACTCAAAGATGGTATGCACATCACAGTCGTTTTTTTGACCCTTAGTTGATAAATAGGAAGATTAAAATGGTTGCTAACTCTTTAACCTATTGGTTTCTTTTAGGTACCACGTTCCTCGATCTTGGTTGAAACCAACTGGAAACTTGCTGGTAGTTTTTGAGGAGATAGGTGGGGATGCATCAAAGATCTCTCTTGTCAAAAGGTCAATTACATATGTATAGAGATGATATTATTTAAGAGTAAAATTTGGTGTGAGCAGAAAGAAAGGGTTCTATGAAAAGCTCTTATGCTAGTGTTTTTTTGGCCAATAATTAGCTTATTTGCTTTCCTATCATCTTTGTTCAAAATGTGGCTGCAGTGCTACTGCTCGGCTTCCTCATCGATGTATATATCTTAGAAGTTATTTTTGGAAAAGAACTCTATTTGCTTAATTTCAGAAAAGAGAGATCGATTTTTCAATTTCTCTTACGCCCTTTTAATTTCAGAAAAGAGACATCGATAATAAAAGGCCCTATACCTCCGGTCTTTTCAAATTCACGTATAACGCCCTTTTAAAGGACACTATATCTTAACGGGCAAATGGCGTTTAAGGTATAGCGCCCTTTAAAATGACGTTATATATATTTTGATCACTATGTTTTTGTTTCTACACTGTTTACCCGAAAAAAGGGATAGAGTTTAATTTATGTGCAGTTCCGAAAATACATGGTACAACTTAATACAGAATGCTAGGATAAATAAAAGTATGAATA